GATACCAATGGGCAAGGCTTCGGCCTACTGTTACTCACAAAACCAGTAAAATATAATTATTATAAAATAAAATGGAAACTTCGGCTAAATTCTGATTTCTACCATCCATCAAATTGCTGTAGAGAAATTAATACTGCAGTAACTGAGCTCAATTAATTTAGAGTTCACAGTCCAACCTCTGACATAGGCTAAAATCACACAGCATCACTGCTCCTTGTGATGTCACAAGGGTTGTGAGCAGCAGCAAACAAGAAGCCTAGGGCCTGCAGTTTAACCATGTGATTCATGCCCAAAGATCAGCAACTAGAAGGCAGAACAAGCAGCAGGGGTCATGAGCAGCAGGAGACCACAAAAAGGGTTTTGGAAGTACTACCTGGAAATAGGTAAGAGCAAAATGAATGATGGAGCTTGTAGTTGCCTAGATGCAGTGGTGGGATGGATGAGAAAAATACGGTAAGTTGAGCTTGAATCCTGGCAAGATGGGAGGCACTGTGAGGAAGTTGTTCCCGGGTCTGACAAATTGGTCATTTGCCAGGCTTGGACAGGGTTGCACTCCCTTCTGAAGGAGCAGGTACGCAGGCTGGGGGGCGGGGTGTGCTTCTGAATCCAGCTTTGTCACTGAAGGCCCAGGTAGCCTGAGTGGCATGAAGTGCCTTTAATTAACTGTGCCTGGTTCAACAGCTATGATCATTTCTCTACTTCCGAGAGCCTGACCATGGTAGTTCAGGTACTGGTGACTTCAAGATTAGATTACTGCAATGCATGCTATGTGGGGCTTCCCTTGTGCATGACCCAGAAACTCCAGTTGGTGTAGAATGCTGCAGCATGGTTGCTCACAAGAGTGAGGTGCTGTCAGCATAAAACACTGCAGCCCAGAGATTTGCACTGATTGCCAATTTGTTACTAGGCCAAGTTCAAGGTGTTACCATTGGTATATAAAGTCCTTAACAGCTGGAGACTGGTTTATTTGCAGAATCATTTTACCCCATTTGTGCCCACTTGACCTTTTCCGGGCAGGCATCTTCACTGTACTCTTTTTGGCATCCACTTAAAGCATTTTTCTTTAGGCAAGCCTATCCAGATAGGTATTAATGCGTTTAATCTTTTTACTGCTAGTATTAATTATCTTTAACCATTTTTATTGATAATGTTAACATTTCTTGTAAGATGCTTAAGCTGCTTAGAGGTTTTACTGCAAGCAGCATATAAATGTTGCTGAAAAATAAACAACAAATACTTAGAACTGAGGGATCAACACAACTCTTGATCTTTATCTTTGACACTTGAGATATAGGTTTAAGAAGCCACCCTATTCCTGTGGTTGTAATCTGTTTTCAGTATTTTTAAAGTTTAATTTTAAATAATTGTAACCCACCCTGAGACCTGCTGGTGAAGGGAGGGTAATAAATTTAATAACACCAGCAACAACTAACTGTTCAGGTGGCAATTTTATGCATAAGAGCCTACAGGGTCAGGTCAATTGCCCATTTAGTCCAACATCCTGTTCTCATAGAGGCCAACCAGATGTTTGTGGGAAGCCAGCAAGCTGGGTTCAAGCACAATAGCACTCTCCCCTCCTGTGGTTTCCAGCAACTGATATTCAGAAGCATTACTGCCTCCAAGTGCATTTCACCATAAACCTGCTCTGATTATGTCTAAAGAACAATGTCAACACCCAAAGTATGGGTGGCCCTGAGTCCGTCCTACATCTGTCATAGACCTTTCTCTACAGTCCCTCTCCCTAAGCATTTTTCACCTTTCACTCTACTTCCAATAGTTGGTGTAGCTGGTTGACTAACTGAACCCAAAGACAGCCCATTCATGGTTCCTCATCATCTTGGATAAAAGTGAAATGCTGCAGGGTTCTGTCCTGGGCCCACTGTCATTCAACATCTTTATAAACAACTTGGAAGAAGGAATGGAGGGGATGCTTATCAAATTTGCAGATAAGACCAAACCAGGAGGGATAGCCAATGCCACAGAAGACAGAATCAGGATTCAAGATGACCTTAACAGAACTGGGACAAAACTAACAAAATGAATTGCAATAGGGACAAATGTAAGGCTCTAAACTTAAGCAGGAAGAACCAGCTGCACAAATATATAATGGGGGATACCAGACTTGTCAGCCATACATGTGAAAAGGATCTAGGGGTCTTAGTAGACCACAAGCTTAACATCAGTCAACAGTGTGATGCAGCAGCAAAAAAAAGCTAATGCTGTTCTAGGCTGCATCAACAGGATTATAGTGTCCAGATCAAGAGAAGAGAGATCCAGAAGATCAAGGGTCTGGAAACCAAGCCTTATGAGGATCAGTGCCCTGGCAGGTCTTGAACCTGCATCTCCTGTTTCCCATCACACTGTGCTGTCCAGTGAGTTTATTAGCATTTGAGCCTCCTATGAGAACACACTGTCATACTGATGGATTTAATTTCTTCTCTAGAGCTCTAGACCTTATTAATTAGCAAGCCAAATGGAGATTTGTTTTATAGCCTCTAGCACTGATTGCCTCTTTGGCAAATCACAATGTACTCATTTCAGTCATATGACTTCTCTGTCTCATGCAAGAGTTATGTTTGAGGACAGCTGCAACTGTGTTTAGTTAAACCACAGAAAACCAGGAATACGTTTTTGCAGGAATGTCAGGATTTGATGGGCCTAAAAGAGAAAATTGCTTTTTTCTTCTTCCTCTATCTTGATTAATATTTAACTCACAGGTAGGACATGCCTCAACTTCACACTAGCTGAATCTATTCAATGTCAATCTTTAACTTCCTAGACAACAGAACTTGACATTCATATTTATAACCAGCTACTGTTGGCCGCATTCCCAGCTATACCCCACTTTCCACATTATTGTGCTTTATTCCTTCTCTGTATCTAATCTCATTTGTATCTACTCTGATATATTACGTACCTGGATCTCAGAAATACAATTATTCTTTAAACTTAGGGGTAAATATAAAATGGTATCCTGGAATGCAACCCACAGGGCAGTAAAATAAATGGAACACTTCTGGAAACAATGGGTAAAAACTTATTTGGCACATAACCAGAGAAACAGGGTTTTTTCATAAAAAGATCTGCTAGTATATCAGATGGTGCTTGATGTCTGAGATTGTTAATGGCTTGCAGCCTATAATGTTCTCTCACAAACAACACTAACAAGCTTATTTGTAGCCTTTCAGATGTCCATGTTGTAAATGTAACAGATTATGCAATAAAAATGAAAATTTCAGCCCACGTATTTATTCCACACATTATTAAAAAATGCATATTTAAATAGCAGAACGTCAAATGGCACCAAAAAATGGTAGCAGCCACACACAAAAAAGTGATACTATACAAGGAGCAGCAACTACAATGCAACAGCGGAGCAATATGACCAGAATGGCAGAATCACGAACCAAAGTAGGCACAATGAACCACATGAATCCGTGTGGAGCTACAGTATAGCACCTATATTCATTCTGGGTCCACAGGGGTCAGTGTTAACACTTATGCAACGCCGCTCTGCCCTACCAGCATGCCAACCATATGTCTGAATAAGCACATGCTATTAAGAAACCGATGATTTCCCCCTCCTCGCTTCGACTCGCTTCCCCCAACTTTGCACCCCTCCTGCAGTACCTTAAGCGGATGGATTTCAAAGCCCAGCTTCTCCAAGTGATCTCGGATCCTTTTCTCCAGATCAACCACGCGTAGCTCCATCATAGCATAAGCGCGGAGCACTGTGGGAAATGTAGTTTCCCATGAGGTAAGGCGGACGGAGACCACGCGCCGGACACGAGAGCCGAGTCCTCCCTCCCTCCCGCTGGCAGCTCGTTTCGCTGCCGCGGCGACGGGCCGCGCGCCTCTCCCAATAAGGAACGGGGACGCTTTTTCCCGACACCCCCCGCTTTGGGGCGCGAAGAGCCTATCGGGAAATGCAGTCCCGGTGACTTCCCCCCTCACAGTAGCCGCTGGGCCTTACGGACTTTCCTCTCCAGAAACCTCCGCGGCGGAGCGGAAGGCGGAACCTGCCTCGGGGTTTTTAGCGGTTTGGGACGTGCGTGTTCGAATCCTTTGCCTTCGGAGAGGGGGTCTGGCTGCGGGTCCAGGCAAGGCCGGCGCGGCTTTTCGCCCCTGGCCCTCGACTCCCTTGGCCTCCGTTTGGTCGGGGCAGCCGGGAGCGCTAGTGAGTGGGGCCTGGCTTGGGTGTCCTCATAGCGGGGAGGCTGACGTGGGTCCTGAGCCAGCCCTCCAGACTGGAGCCACCACCGGCCGTGGCTGGGTTGAGGCGGGCGGGGTGTTCCTCGCTCCCTTGTGGGACTGGCCGAGGGAGACCCTCTCGCCCAGCGCTCCAGAATGTGTCCCGGACACCAGGAAGCGACCTCCCTGGAGGGGCTGATCTTGGCCGCAGTCTCTAAGGACGGGGGTGGGAAGAGGGCGCCTCCGCTTCCATTTCCCCTCTGCTGAGGAACTGCTTGGTTATCTCTGCCCCTAGAGAGCCGTGGTCTATCGTTGAAAGTGTTTATGGGCCTCCGGAGCGTTGTGCTTTAGAGCTGTGCTCTTTAAACTGTTGGCACAGTAGTTAAAAGGTGCTTGTGAATCTGTCCCAGAGATGTTGGGTGTCTGATGCTGCATTCCCTTAAGAGGCATTTTTGTGTGTGGTGTGAAGGAAATTTGTTAGGCAGTCTTTCTGCAAAAGTGTCTGAATTTCCAAGTCTGTACCTTCCCCACCCCACTCCTCCTTTGCTATGATGAGATTCAGCGTTGCTCACGGGAGAAAAATAAACCGTCTCCTGCTGCTTTTGCAGGCGCTCTTCTCTCCTGCTGGGATTTCTTTCTAGCCAAGGACTCTTCCCGGGTTACAGTTGGGCAGCCAGTGAGTTGTTAAAACATCTTTTTGCTAACAGCATGGATTGGGACACACAGCTCAGCTCTCTCTTGACTGCAGCAGACAGCAACATGGCAAAAATTAAGGCAAGTTTTGTTTGGAGCAGCATACTGGTTGAAGAAAAGTGTCTAGTGTAATTGAACAAGGGGTGTGTATGCTGCTAAATATTTAAAAGTTGATCACACCAAAGTTGTGTTCTGCAATGGGGAAATGTGTTGATAGTTTCCAAGAACTGGTCTTTAATAAAATCTGCTGAGTGTTTTGCTGCTGATTGTTAAAGGTGGCTATTACTGTATTTTTCGCTCCATAAGATGCACCTGACCATAAGCCGCACCTAGTTTTTAGAGGAGGAAAACAAGAAAAAAAATATTCTGAACAAAACAGTGGATGTATGATTTTTGTGGTTTATGCTGTAGCCACAGACATGTGTTTTGATGGTGAGTTTGGGGTAGCCCAATGCAAAAATCCTGAATATCCATGTGGATCCATGCTTTGTAACCATGTTTTTGTGCCATTGCGGCCCCACAGAACAGTGGATGTGTGTGTGTTTTTGGTGCAGGCTGTAGCCATGGACATACTATGTGATCTGATGGTGAATTTGGGGTGACCCAATGCAAAAATCCTGAGGATCCATGTGGATCTGCAGGGTTTTTCTGAGCTTTGGAGCTAACTTCTAAGAGCTGTTCATTTGACTCTGTTCCATGACATTCTGGATTTTGTACACCAGTTTGGCTATGGCAGCTAAAAAGCACCTTTGAAATCTTATAAATAAAGGTATGGGAATGCTTCTTTGATCTTTGGCCAAGTTAGCAAATGACAGTTGCTGTCGTTGCCTGGAAAATGTGGCATTAAGACACTGTGCAGATTTACCTTGCTCTGTGTATTTTACTGTCATGTCCATTGAAGGCACTATAAAGATGAATGAGAACATTTTGTCTTGCCAGTTCCTCTCCAAGTGTTTATGCAGTACTTTCTAACTTAAATTTCATGTAGCATCCCTCGGTGGAAGCAATGTGCATTCATACACTCAAGTGTTAATCTTTCCACTGGCAGCGTGGGGCTGCCCTTGAAACTGACCCAGAAACTCCAGCGGGTGCAGAATGCCGCGGCGAGACTCCTTATGGGGTCTTCGCTGCGAGATCACATTCATCCGGTACTATACCAGCTGCACTGGCTCCCGGTGGAGTACAGGATCAGGTTTAAGGTGCTGGTTTTAACCTTTAAAGCCCTATACGGCCTAGGACCCTCGTACCTACGGGACCGCCTCTCCTGGTATGCCCCACAGAGAAACCTACGGTCTGCAAATAACAACATCCTCAAGGTCCCAGGCCTCAGAGAGGTTAGGCTGGCCTCAACTAGAGCCAGGGCCTTCTCGGCTGCGGCTCCAATCTGGTGGAATGCTCTGTCACAAGAGACTAGGGCCCTGCGGGACCTCACATCCTTCCGCAGGGCCTGCAAGACAGAGCTGTTCCACCAGGCCTTTGGTCAGGGCGCAGCCTGACTCCCTCCTCTGGCAACCTGCGCAGAGTTTTGCCTAATCGGTTGCCAGCAATTTGATTTTGGTTGATTTCTATGGTGAAATGTTTTTAGAGTGTTTTTAGAGTTTGACTGCTTGACTATTTGACTGTTGTTAGCCGCCCTGAGCCCGGCTTCGGCTGGGGAGGGCGGGATATAAATAAAATTTATTATTATTATTATTATTATTATTATTCAAAACAGTGTTATAACTTTCTGTCCCATCTTCTGTTTTTGTTCCAGCAACGTCTGAACACTGCCAGCATCTCTTCCAAAGGTAAGAACGATTGACCTGCATTGTATAATTCTAAAGCACCTTTTGCAGAAAGAAACATCTCTTTAATACTTTGAATTTCTGAAGTTTTGAGATTAGAGAGCTCTTTACTGATTCTAGTGTATATAAATCCTGGGAGCAAACAGCGAGAGAAGGCAATTGCCTTCATGTATTGCTTATAAACACCTAGAGGCATCTAACTAACTGGCTGCTCCTGCAAACTGAATGAAAGGCTAGATGGAGCTGGGTCTGGTCCAGCGAGGTGATTCTTTGAACCTACACATCCACCCCCACCTCTGTTTTCTCCCTTTTCCAACTCTGGCTTTGCTTTTTAAAAAATGATAGTAAACTCACTTCTACATCATTGGTTGCTATTTATAAAAGCACCTAATATGCATGAGGTGAAGCAGGAAAGTATAGCAAATTCCTGCCCAAATCACAGGGAGGTAGTATAAAAGGGGAAAGAGTTAAAAGCCTACAATAATTAACTTTTGAGTAGGGAGAGGGTTGGAATCCAATAGACTCCTAAGAGAATATTTTAATTTCTTAAAAGAGAGAAAGAGGTAACAAGCTGAATACTTAAAAGGAAAGAATTCCATACGAGGGGCTATATGTCCAAGAGCGCACATGGACAAGAAATAGCACAGCAGAGTAGGCTGAATGGTGCAGTTGAGGTGATTTAGAGAGCAAGCAATGTAGGTAGATACTTTTGACAGTTGCCATACTAGGTGGACCAGTCAGGTTTGTCCCTTTCCATCCCAACAGCTGATCTCTTGCTAGACAGACTAAATACTGAGAGTGCTGCTCTGACTGAGCAACAGACTGGACCACCACCCCTGCATTTCACATGTGGAGCTCACTCATGCTGTAGAATGGCTGCTGAGGAACTTTCTGCCATCAGCAAGCAATTGCATTCCCAAGCCCAGGTAAGTGACGCTGAAATGATGCGCAAGCTACTATGCTATGGTCTAGAGAAAAGCTTTGCTAATACATCTGGGTGCATACCCCAGCAAAACCACATGCAAAGTCTTGCACATGAGAAGATAGTGCCATACAGTAGATGGTTGAACTTAAAGCAGACAGATCTGGGCTGTAAATTGCTGTTCGGGCATAAAATTCACTGTGAGACCTTGGCCAGCCATTGTGCCTCAATTTAGTCTGCATCACTGGATTGTCGTGGTTAGAATAGTGGGGAATTACATGAATTCCAACCCCTGCTCTTTGGAGGAAATGTGAGCTTTAAATCATGTAACAGGAAATAATACATGTTCTCAAACCAACAATTTGGTTAGGATTAGTTTTTCTAGTATATTATGTTCCAGCCTAAGGTTTGGAGGGCTCCTTGCTTAGATGGTATTTGCTGTTCCCATGACTCTGGTCCTCCTTTCTTTCTCTTAGGTCATAGAATCCCTCACCCAGGCAGTACATCGGCTGAAACAGGAGAAGGAACTGCAGCAGCAGAGTATCAGTCACCTAGAGGGTATGAGAGATTTGTCCAGTTTGGCATTGCCTCTGCTAGACTGCCCTTTCTCCCATTACTGATCTGTTGAAACGTTTCATCTCTAAACCTAAAAGAGCACAAGTTTTATTTATTTTACTTAAAACATGTATTTTTCTATTTTTGCTTTTTGTATTAAAATGTTCAAAGCAGCTTACAATTACAGTTTGAGAAATATACAAGGTAAAAGCACAATATGGGAGAGAGCGTGCATGCAGAGAAAATGCCTCAGTTCAGGAGGTTTCAAACATCAACAACTCCCAAAAGAGTCATCTTTAGAAGCTGATGGGATGGAGCAGGGTGGACATAAAAAAAGTTCCCCATAGCTGGTGCAACTGCAGAGAGGGTTTGTGCTGTAGTCCAGCCTAACATAATTCATCACTGAGACATGAAGAAGAGCCCCTCCAGCAGATTTTAGTGAGTGATAATAATTAGCATTTTTGAATTGGACCCAGAAATGAACAAAAATCCAATGAAACTGTTGGAAGATTCTTCTCTTGTTTAGCTGATAACCCTGTTATGAGAAATATGTCATGGTACCTAAGAATCCAGCCACTTCTCCTCCTCCCTCATACTTGAATCCACACTTCATTTATGTCTGTCAGCACTCTTGCCAGCTCCATGGTATTCTGATGGGGACAAACCTCTCTTGAATGTGGTTAACAGACTGCCGTGCACCAACGGTGAATGGGCATCAATGTCACTGTATCTCCACAACAGCCAAGGGGAATACTATTGGCTAATTTCGTCCTGTCCTACTTCATGTTGCAGAGGAGGTGGATCGACTGCAGCACAATTCTCATGGCAGCTTAGACTCAGTGCTGGGAGTCAGGATGGAAGGGCTGAAGACTGAGTTCCGTAGCCTTCGGCAGCAAGTGTTTCAGCAGTCAGATGGTGACTGTACTCCTGATGCTTTTTCCAACCCTGGCATCATGCAAGATATGCGGGAGAGGTCAGCAATTGAGCTATCTAGTGAAAGTAACTGCTTTATGTATAGGGATGTTTGAGATGAGTGGGATAGTGTGGTGATGGACAAAGAACAGTACTTTTCCAAGTGTCAACTGCAGGTCATTAATTGCTGGAAGAAAGTTGGCATGTCATTTGCAATTTGAGAATGTCTTCAAAGACTTGAATGAACTGTGGCCTCTGCCAAGTTTTCTTGAATGGGGTTGCTGCTCTGCTGGGAAGAATAACAGTTGCTGTTCTAATAACCACTTGCTTGTAGTGAATTGTGTTACCTGAGTGGACCCCTGTAGGTTAGCAATATATTTTTCACTGATTTGTAGCCTATAGAAAGCCAACAATGCAAGCATGCTTGAGCTCTATCTTACCATTTCTCTGGGAATCAGAACGGCATGGGGCCAATTCCATAAATTTCAAAACTGTTAATGTTTTAAAACAGCTGAATTTGGAATGGACTTTGCAGTAAATCCAGAAAAGTGATCCCTGTTGTCTTAATTCTGTTCCTGATTTCCTTCTTACTCTAGTAAGAAAATCTTGTGGCAAGAATATAAGTGCATCAGAAGAGAGATGGAACACCTGAAGCACAAACTAGGCAAGTACTACTTGATGCTCCTGCTCCCCTGGCCTCTGTCCTGTAATAACTATTGGGATAAAGGCTATGTGCCCTGTGGGCCTCATTGGGAAGAGAGAAATATGTACAGAATTGAGAAAATGACATGGCTTATTGCACCCTTTAGAGCAACAAGAGGATGATCTGTTCCACCAAGTGTCTGCAACTGATGAGATAAAGAAGACTCAAAGAAGATACTGTCAGGTACATTGTTAAGAAGGTTCCCTTTGTGCTAGTAGTCCTAGCCCCAGCATGGAACATGAAGCGGGTATGCAGTCCCTACCCCAGATATCTAAAATATATTAGACAGACAAGACAGAGATGACTGAAAGATTAGAACAAGATTACACTATACAGTGGTACCTCGGGTTAAGTACTTAATTCGTTCCGGAGGTCCGTTCTTAACCTGAAACTGTTCTTAACCTGAAGCACCACTTTAGCTAATGGGGCCTCCTGCTGCTGCCGCGCCGCCGGAGCATGATTTCTGTTCTCATTCTGAAGCAAAGTTCTGGGTTAGCAGAGTCTGTAACCTGAAGCGTATGTAACCTGAAGCGTATGTAACCCGAGGTACCACTGTACCTACAAGCTAGATGACTCTAGCACAGGGGTGAGGAACCTTTTTTTTTGCTTTATCTGGCACCTCCTCGCAGGTCAACAACCTACCCGTCAATTCTATGACATGTTACATGATTGACAGGTGAGTGTCCTGCCCACTTGCGAAAATCCTTGTGTCCAGGAGGAAATGAAGAAAGGGCCATTTTGCAAGCAAAGGCCTTTTCCCTCATGCACTCTGCCTTGGCTTGTGAAAACTCTCTTCCTTTCTTTCAGTGCTCACAAAAAGCACCTTCCTTTTGGCTTGCCTTGACTGTGGTGCCTGCTCATACAGCCAACATGAGAAGGAGTTAAGCTTTGCTGAGAAGTAAAGGGTTGCAAGTACCTGTTTGCGCAGCCAAGGCAGAATTAAACCCTGCCCACCTGACAATCAGCTGATGCCACTTGGATTTGTCAGCAGATTGACTGGTGGGCATGGTTTGTGGAAAATAGCCTGGTTGGCCAAGATTTGCCCCACCTGCTGCTCTAGCAAATATTCAGTTCAAGAAGTAGTCATTCACCTTTGATGCCACTTGTTTAAATACTCTTCCTTCCCTAATGATGGTTTCTTAAGCTATGGAAAGATTCCTGAACTGTAGCCACCACCACTGGTCTTGATGTATGTCCTGCCTTTCCGGCTTTCACATTAAAATAGAGTGTGGGCTTAGAGCAAACAAACCACTATTGGGAAGTAATGATTTAACCTTGGCTTCAGATTGTGAGGTTTTATTTGGAGACAAACCAGAAGTGCTGGTTTGAATACAAAATGATTTCATTGTTTGTTTTGTTCATGGAGGGAGGAGTCAAGTGGGAGGGTTACAGCTGTATACACAGATGCTTAGCTTGTGCACAGCCTAATTCACTTAAACATAGTTAATGACTTAGTGCTGCTTCCAAACATTGTGGAAACTTGTGGGCACCTCTTAAGGCCATTATACCACTGTGCTGTGCTTCCCTAGCCTGGAAAAACCAGTGTAGTGGTATTAGGAATATGGTCACATGTGTTTGCCATTCTGCTTCTGTCTGTGGGTATATGCTAATCTCTGCAGAAGAATACATGAATGGGAAACTATGCATATATTTAAAAACAAAAAAACAAGCAAATACCCAAAACACTCTTAACTCCCTGCTTATGTTTTTTTTGTGGGGGGAATTTCTTTTAAAAACAAAATGAACCCTAAAAGCTTAGGTTAAAACCATAGTTATCTGTCTTCTTATTCCCAGATGCTGGAAGATCTGAAGGACAGTCATAAAGCTCAGACTAAGGATTTGGACAAAGCTAGGATTGAGACCCAGAGCACTCAGAAGGAACTTAGTCATGTCAAGTAGGGAAACACATGTTATGCTGTATGTGCTTCACTTGATAGTTGCCCGTGGTTCGATGCAGGATTGAGACGTGCATGGTTGCTAAATTATTACCACTGTTTCTCTCATTCAAAAATGGTGTTGTAGATGGTTGCTAGTAGACAATTGTCCACCAGAGGGCCTCCTATTCATTGCATTAGCCTCCAAAAAGGCAATGATGAGACAGGAATCTTTGAAGGTGCTGCAGAAGGCTAGCAGTTTGCTTTCTTCCCAAACCAGACTTCCCTAATCTGGGGCCTTCCAGAGGTTTTGGACTAATTCCTGACCAGACAGGATGGTAGCAGGTTGCGGAAGGCTGCCCTAGTCACCCAATGGTTTGGATGTTTCCCATCCCCTTCTCCCTATAGCCACTTGACACCCCAGCCCAGGCCCAAACAACTTCTGTGTAGGGTCAGTTCTTCATGAGCAATGTGATATGGGACTGCTAGGGAAAAGACACATTACTGGCCTGGGGAACTGCATTGCAAAAATTGGAGGAGCACAAATTGGGAAAGATGGTTGGATTTCAGTTCTCATATTTTTTTGGAAAATCTTAATTAGATAAGGTTGCCTTTGAATGCAAAGTGAATTGAATTTCTTCCCCAGCCCTATCAACCATATAGCTATGGGAAATCCACAAGTATAGAACATGAGTTCAATAGCACTTTTCTGCATGTGATCTGGGACTGGAGGTAGTACATAGCCATCATGACTTTGTAGACATTGATAATCTTATCCATGAACTGCAGTGTGGTTGGATCTTATAAGAGGGGATGTACTGAGTGGCACAGTATATGTCCATTTCCCAGTATTCATCTCTTGGGAATGAAGGAACATTCTCCAACAATTATCACCCAGGTTCACAGAACCTGTAGTGATGGAGTCACATTATAGTGATTTGAATTCAGAGGATCAAACTCTTTTCTCCCTAGTTCCTCTTATTTCCCTGTGTTCCTCCCAATCCCATGAATGATTCTAAGTAAGCAACACCAGAGAATAATAATAATAATAATAATAATAATAATAATAATAATAAATTTTATTTATATCCCGCCCTCCCCAGCCTTAGCCGGGCTCAGGGCGGCTAACAACAATAAAACAGTACAAGCTGTTGAATCTATCATTGAAATAAACTTAGCTTCTCTGTCACTGAAGTCAGTCATGGCTTGCTTTTCATTAGGTCATCAAGCATTTCCATTTTCACTGAAGGCTTGATTATTTCACTGCCTATGGATACTTTCGGACATTAAGTGAATCGCACAGAGCTTACTTGACTGCGTCGCTCAGATTTATGAGGTGCAAGAGTGCCTCATCTCTTATAAATATGTTTTTTCTGTTTGCACTAATAATTTCCGTGGGCTTTTGAATTTGTTTTAATCAGAACTACAGTTACTGACCTAAAAGAACAGGTGAAAGGTCTGCACTTGGAGGATGAACTCTTCGCTGGTCCACTAAGAGACAAAAACCTCCGTCTAAGTAAGTGCTTGTTCTTAGAACACCTGACACTGAGAGCATCTCTGATTAGGAAAATGGGTGCACATGGGAAGTGTGGCATGAGGGCTCATTTTGCTGCAAGTTTGTGGACTGGGCAGCTGCTGCACATCTATTTGTCAGTCTTGTTGCAAAATAAGCACTCAGATGCATGAAAGAGTATTTGCTTTTTGCTATGGATATATTAACTTTTTGAAGAAAAATATAACTTTGTGTAAAATGGCTCTCATTGTACCAGTGTTGCTTCAGCACAACCCATTAGACTCTCATCTTCAGCTGTGAAATATTCTGCTCCTGTAAAAAATATACCTGGTCAGAGAAGCAGCTCACTTTTCCCAGTTTTACTAATTTTGGGAGGAATTCAGTGTCACACTATGTCAGCTTACCAGGTGGAACGATTCCCTCTCTCTTTCCCCCATGCCCTGACCTGGGGCTTCTCCCAACGCTGCTGAAACCAATTGCAGGAGTGCTGGGGGAAAGATAAGCCCCCTTGCACAGGCTTTCACTGACAGGACTTGTAAGGTGAATCCTGCCCTATGTATGCATGACACTTTCCACAGATAAACCCAGGTGCCAGCCATATTTTAAATGGAAATAATAAAGCTCTTAATTAGAAAAAAGTATACTGGCATTGCAAACATGGTCTTGTCTTGAATCGTTGGGACTTTGGACAGTAAGGGCAAGCTCAGTTATTTACTAAGTTGTAAACATTGCTTTGAGACAAAGCTCAGAATTTTAAGTGAGCTGCTAGTCTCCCTAATCTGCCTTGAACTTTGTCCCCTAGGAAAAAGGAGAGTTTTGCTGCATGATGCTACCTTGTCATCCCTTCTCAGTGATGATTCAGCCTCTGAGTTCAGTCTCACAGATGTCAGCTCAGATGAACTCTTTAGTGAACCAGAGATTGCACAACTTGCTGGTGAGTCTGGGTGTAACTCTGAAATATTTACTGAAACCATTACCTAGTGATTGCTCTGGGGCTGTGAAGTTTATCTCTACAAGTTTTTATTTTGAATTGCAGCATTGCCAGAGTACCCTGGAAGAGGAACGGATTGATACTGAAAATACTACTTGCTGTGTTTACTTTTCTTCTGTTTCTGAAATAGCAAAGCCCATATTGCACCACATAGAGGAACCCTCAGTTTTGAGAATAAAGGGATTAACATTCTCGTCAGGGGAATTCTTACCCTATTTCATTAAGATGCTTAAGATTCTTGCGCACAGATTCTCTTTAAACCTCTTTGCATTTTGCTTTTTCTCTACCCTAATCCTAGTGACTCAGTCTTTCTGAAGGAAGCTGCTACATTTCTACTGTGTTCTGTTCTGGTGCCCTCAAAGTGTTTTCAAGGATCTTTACTAGAGCTGTTTCCCTCTGTAGAGTTGTCTTTTACCAGAAGATTTTGCACATCTAAGCTCATGCCTAGGGGATGAGCCAAATACAGTGGTACCTCGGATTAAGTACTTAATTCTTTCCGAAGGTCCGCTCTTAAACTGAAACTGTTTGTAACCTGAAGCACCACTTTGGCTAATGGGGCCTCCCACTGCTACTGCGCCACCAGAACACGATTTCTGTTCTCATGCTGAAGCAAAGTTCTTAACCCGAGGTACTATTTCTGGGTTAGCGGAGTCTGTAACCTGAGGTACCACTGTAATCCTTTGGGTTTTGTAAAGGAAAACCAATCACTCCATAGTTGGGTGCTTGAAGGCTCTTCTGAAGCTCTTGACAAATGGGTTTGACACTACTTGTAATAAATATGAAAGGGAAGCTTATAGATATACTCACCGCTGGCTCAACGGTGATGCTTGTGGATGATTGCATACAAGACTTAACATCTGTACATGTGTTGGTCCTGGAAGACAACACTTTGTCTATTAAAATTTTAACGTATGGAAAAATATGCTGCTGCATAGTAGCTCAGAAAAGTGGTCTACCAGTTTTGTTTCAATCTTTCCATTTTTTTAAACTTCCCCTCTTTTTTTGAAAGCACTTCTTTCTAGCTTATTAATTCTATACTGTTGAATTGCAAAATGTTATAACAACCACCACAAAATAGTCAGCTAATTACTTTGTATTGTACTTGTAGATGACAAGATTTCCATACCAGGCTTGAAGCTGGAAAAGAAGACCCCTGGAGGAGCAGCTGGTGGCACGCTGGACACAGAAGACCTCAGCAGTGAGCTGACTGACACTCCTCCTGAGCTCAACTTGAGTAACCTTTAAAACTTCACCTAAGGATTGCCTCATTCTTTCTAATGAGAAAACAAATTAAAGAGCAGAGAAACATACGTACTGTTCTCACACACACTCAGCTGCCTTTTGTACAGATACAACATTGAGGTAGAAGGACAGTATTAACCTCAACCTATGACCTGGTGATATTAGCACATGCAAGTATGATGCAGGGGGCTGAAATCATTTGAGAAGGGTGTGTTGTGTATATATATATATGTTCTGTTCAGAGATTTCCCAGTGTCCCTTCCTGGAAAAGGAACAATTGCATTGCTGGTCCCTGCGTGTGTGATATGGATCGTATCGGCCAGCTTCAAGGAACTGATTATTCTCATCACTCATAATTTGCAGTGTTTAAATATTGAAATGAAATATTGAGACTGAGCCACAAGAGAAAATACTCTGGTAAGCAATCCACTTTACCCCAGATTCTGTTAATCCAGGCTTCCTCAACCTCAGCCCTTCAGATGTTTTGGGCCTACAACTCCCATGATCCCTAGCTAGCAGGACCAGTGGTCAGGGATGATGGGAATTGTAGTCTCAAAACATCTGGAAGGCCAAGGTTGAGGAAGCCTGTGTTAATCTGTGTCACGGTGTTTGCCGCACAACAGCTCCTGATTCAGCACTAAGACAAAACCAGCAGTGATGGGAACAGTCCACTGAAGAAGGGAGCATATAGTATGTTAAACTCCTTTGGCAAGTCACTGATGTGCCACATTAGCAGTTGACTAGGATAGGCTGGCTGTGTGATAAGAAACCTGTGGGGAGCATCCTCTTATCTGGGAAATACTTTGTGCAGCTAACTTTTTTTCCCTTCTTGCCGGTTGAACTGCTGGTGAGCTATGATTTCCAGTGACCTAAAGTGGTCTGAGTAGTAGTGGCATTAGTGTTTCTGAATTTTGGATCAGGTGGCAAAGCATAATATAGTTCAACGCATTAGTTAAATATCCTTCATATATCTGGTCCTTTCTGGGAATAAGACCGGTAGGAGCAGAACCAAAGAGTCTTGGTTGCCTTCTCAGTTTTTAGAACTTTATTGAAACAAAATTACACAACTGAGCTTAAAAAAGACTTTCAAACTAAGTAAGAAGCTCACATAGAATGAGATCCATCAACCACTTGCTAGCCAAGACATATAGGAAATGCATATAGTAAAATCCTGGATTTTTTTATTTTATTTGAAAGGCAGCTGTGGAATGCTGCCATTTTGAGCAGAGGAGTATTGGGACAGGGGCCATGTGACTGCCAGCTATTTGTTTAAAAAATGCCCCCTAACTATTCTACACACACAGACACACATGCATAGTTCCAGATGCAGAAAACCTGTGGAGGGCAATACTTAGTGGAAACAACTCATGCAAGGAAAATGTTAAGTAGCTCCCATTACTCCTCTCCTCACACTTGCAGCCTCCACATTAAAAATAAATAAAAAGGGCTTCATTGCATTAATTTGCTGCACAAAATATACCTTCTGCCATAGCTTTATTGGTGGGGAATCACTCACTACTTGGGGGCTACCTGCTGCTCTTCAGCACAATTAGGATAATGAGAATGTGCAGCAGTTGGCACATTCTTCCCTACTGTTGGCCTGCTTTTTCTTGCCTTGGTAGAAAGTTGTACTCCATACCAGTGAAAAGGGCAGCCTGTTCACCCACTGTATTGAGCAAAAGTGATCCTGTCTACCTCAACATCCTAAAATTCTTAAAGTTATGGAGAAGATATTCAGGTCTAGACCTGGTAACTCTTGTAAAAACTGGAATTATATGACGGACCTGGATGAGTAAGCGTTAAAAGCTTTCCTGTACAGTATGGTTATTCTTAAACTCCTGGTCTGGACTTTCAGAAGACTGGGTGCCAGTTTACTGATCTGGAATCGCATCAATGGCTGCTGCTTCCTCCCTTGTCAATGCCTGAATTAAAAGCTCAAACCTGTTACAACTGATAAAGTTCCCCATCTTATTCAGACAATATAGTGTAGCAGCTGGAGCTTGTGTGTATAACATGTTAGAACATAAAGTAAATGTATCTCCTACTACCCCCCCCCCCCAAAAAAATACAAAACCAACTAGGGAAGCCTGTGTTAAGAGGAATCCCTCAAAGGGCCATATGCAGTAGACAGCATGTCCAATTTCAGGGTAAAAACACTTCAGAAGGAAAAACGATTAAAGGCAAGGGGAGGGGAATTAGCCCACAGGGGATTAAATCAACAGATGCTCCATTATAGTTCAAAGAGTGCTGGCAAGCAGTGATTGCTCCTAGAGCTTATTAGTTCTGGGCTGCTCATAACACACTGGTTTGTTTTTAGGGCTGGAGAAATATAGGCCGAGAAGTCTTTAATTAATGACCTCTAGACTGCACAGTTTGTCACAAAGCATGTAACTAACTGTATTTGTGGGACCAAATCGTGTGTATTCGCCAACAAATTTGATACGGCTCAGCTGATGGAACACTGGGTTTTGCTGGAACTTAAACTTTTTATAAATGGAAAGGAATAAAAAATTGTGGTAACCAAATTACTTTTCAGTCTGTTCTGATTTAGTCTGCCTTTGCATTGTAATCAACTATTGTAGAGAATATGCATACAATTGTAGGATAGTGCTCATGTAGAACTTACATTATATTATAAATTTTAATTTTACTACTTATTGTAGAACAAAATATTAGCTCTTTAGTCCACTATCTTGGCATGTATTAGGACACATTCTAGTTATGGAGGAAACAGCACTGGCATATGGGGAATATACTTTAGGAAAGATGGCTCCTTATGGGCTGTCTTGCCTCTGCCCCAAACTTCTTTGTTGCCTGTACTGCAGTACTCTGTTAATATGAAGAGAGAAACACAAGAAGATGCCACCTGGGGCTGCTGACCTATAACAATGTCAAAACAAGCTCATTGCTGCTAATAAAGGACAAACTCAGCTTTGTAAGGGAATTTGACTAGAAGCAAAATGACCCTTGATGCCCATGGGGCAGACAATACTAACATTTTAGAACAGTTTAACTGTGAAAGAGGCCTGTCCAGGAAAATTTGAAACATATAGGTTGTGTTTTTGTTTTGCTTTAGTGAAAGCAAAATCTAAAGATGAGAGCTGATAAGGTTAATGGATGCGGCAGGCATATTTCTCATCTAAAACTTGGCTGCTAAGCCGCTGTTAGGGGAAAATGGAGCTTTTCATGAGGCTAGTGACCTTTTAAGCATCTTTAAAAATAAAACTTAAATCTGAGAATGTGTATTGGCTTGAAATAAAAAAAAAACCCTTTGGTTGCTTGCCGATCGAAAGGTCGGCAGTTCGAATCCCCGCGGCGGGGTGCGCTCCCGCTGCTCGGTCCCAGCGCCTGCCAACCTAGCAGTTCGAAAGCACCCCCGGGTGCAAGTAGATAAATAGGGACCGCTTACTAGCGGGAAGGTAAACGGCGTTTCCGTGTGCGGCTCTGGCTCGCCAGAGCAGCGATGTCACGCTGGCCACGTGACCCGGAAGTGTCTCCGGACAGCGCTGGCCCCCGGCCTCTAGAGTGAGATGGGCGCACAACCCTAGAGTCTGTCAAGACTGGCCCGTACGGGCAGGGGTACCTTTACCTTTACCTATAAGGCTAGCTAACCTAGATTCCAGTGCTTTGACTTGCTGTGCTTTAAAGGTGAACTACAGAAGAAGAATAGAATCTGGGCTTGCAGGGAACCCGACTGAACCATGAAGTATCAAGGGCATTTACATTAATGTTTACTTATCCATTCAACTAAATAACAATAAAGAGCATAGTATGTTGTCCTCTTTAAATTACCTTTTAAGACTCTTATAAACAACTTTCTCAACTGCATCTCTCTCTGTGCAAATTGAATCTCAAATCAATGCTTCTCGAGACCAAAGTACTTAAGGAGCTCCCAAATGACACACCTTCATTTTGGCAGTGAATATAGCCTGCTCACACAAGCAAATGACATAGCTGGAATGGTGAGAGTTGCAGGGAGGCTAAAGGGGCAGTGTGTCAAAAGGGGTGGTCCACAATCCCTTGCACTATGATGCAGGGCTGGTAGGATACAAAGATGGGCTTGTTCAGGGCAGTCACTTGGCTTGACAAAATATGTCTGGCCAGCGCTGCCTGTAAACTAACAGTGCAGTAATGTTACTTTAAGCCCAAACTACATTTTTTTCCAGAGCAATAGCTAAGGCCTGCTTCACACATTATATAGTGATGAACATTTTGCTGCCATGTGTACATACAGTAGGAAGTCACAGTTGCTCCTGACTCCCTGCATCTGTAATGCATGAATAATGTAAAATGGAATGGGCTGTTCAGCCCTATGTGTGTTGTGTTGTTCTGCTTTTATACCACCCCTTTAAAGAGCCCAGGGTAAAGCACATGGTTCTTAAACATCTCCCCTTCAAGAGGGGCAACAAAAGTTTCACCAGTTTGCATTTGTACCCATAAAGACTGGCAACCCCTGCTCTAGATCAGTGTTTCCCAACCTTGTGCCTCCAGCTGTTTTTGAACTACAACTCCCATCATCCCTGACTAGCAAGACCAGTGGCAAGGGATGATGGGAATTGTAGTCCAAAAACAGCTGGAGGCACAAGGTTGGGAAACACTGCTCTAGATATACCTGAAGTCCAAGTTCACCTGCACTGCTGTAGTTGACTCACACTAATGTAATACATTGCAGCACACTCCTATGTGTGTGCCTATGCAAAAGCAAGTTCTGTTGAGTTCAATGTGCCTTGTGCCCAGAAAATTGGGGGTAGGATTGCTGCCTTGTACATTGTTAGTTCCCCCCACCCTCACTCATTACATAGCATGGAACTCGCTTTGCTGACAAACTTTTCCACTGGCCATTAAGAGTCTGGGACCTTTCAGAAAAAGCTAGCTTCAGCTCTGGCTGGTTTTATAGGCACCATACAGCATATAAATATGGCCACTATTTTATTGTTTTACCACAGACACATGAACCACACTCCCACAAGGAAGTGGCTTGTCTTAGATTTCTTTTTATCTGGGTTTGTGCCCCACCCATTTTCTAGCTTCAAAGGTAAGCCGCCGAGATTGATTTCTAGCCTCTTCGTAATGAACATAATTATGCAGCCTGGAATGGTGAAAAAAGCAACAACCCAGAGGAGCTATCAAAGGCTTGTGCTGCCTTCAAAGGGACCTATAAGGATCTGGCACGCTGCCCATTGTGGCTCTGTCAAACAGACTCCTTGCTTGTGCAACGAAACCTCAAATATCTTTTGGGGGCTAGCCCCTGGGGAACTGCAGTGTTAACATTCACTGAGCTACAAAGCAGAAGGGTGCAGCTTTGCAGGGGCAGAAGTCTCTGAGGCAAGCCTGCCCAGGAACTTCACTCTTTCTTTGAGGCCCTCTGAAAACAGAGGGAGGGGATGAGACACACTCTCTCTCTCTCTCTCTCTCTCTCTCACACACACACACACATTTAGCATGACAGAGTATGAAATAGCCTCCCTGCAGACTCATATGTCTCTGCATCCCCCTTGCCTGCTATAAGGCAGGCTTTGAAAATACAGTTTTGTTTCAGTGGACATTCTGTTGGTGCAAGGACTTTGGGTTGTGTACTGAGCCTGCATCGATCAGTAAGCAAATGTTGTCTCCCTGTGTCATAGATGTTTTAGCTGAGATTCCTGCATTGCAGGGGGTTGGGCTAGATGACCCCTGGGGTCCCTTCCAACTCTACAGTTCTATGAATGTGCTTCCTGCCTAACAGTTATATAGCAAGCAGGGCTGCGGTCCTTGACACACATTAGAGTGAGCCCTATTAATCTCAGTGGCACAGACTTCAGACAAAACAAACCTGAATAGGGCCACACTATCAGCATCTTCAGGCTTGTTTGGGTTTTATCTGGATTAGTCCATCAGTTGTGGCTACAAGTCCTACTCACTTCTAGAGCAGTTCTGCAGACTTCAGGGGGAGCATTTGTGCAACCCCTTTCTTAGGGGCATCACATGGAATACTCAACTTTCTGCAGGCCTTTGAAAAGCCCAAGAGTGTGACACCATGAGTTTTAACTGCGGAGGTTCTCAAACTTCCATCAGAGGTAGCTTTCCTAACTAGATAAATGTTTGGGGTACCCCTATCTTGGAATGATGGATCAAGAAAATCCCATGTTCTTAGAACTAGTCCCTTTAGTCACAGTGAGATTCCCCTGCATGATTGCCCACTGAATAAAAACTCCCTTTTACAAATCAGATGGTGTGTGTAAGGATTTAAAGAGTAACCTTTAGAGCTTTGTTCCTGGCATGCTCTCTCTAGCTCCTCTTTGAATAATCTATGCTGTTCCTTATTTTATACAGGCATGTGAAGGGGAAGCAGCAACATAATTCCTCCAGTTTGCTGGGATGCAAATTGGGGGTGTTGCAGAAAACCCAAGCAAAGGCTCCTATCTCATCCAACCACCAACTTGAGAAGCTTCAAGCAAGAAAGGAAATAAGCCTATTTAGAGGAAAACCAATTTATTTGTAGACCCACAATCAACAGTCCAAACACAAAGGTGTTATGTTCTGGAAAAGCCTTCAGAAAGCTAAAGATGTAAATGAGAGATGTCAGGTGGAGGAAGTGAGGGGAAACAGAATGGGAGAAACAAAAAACAGCTGGAGAAAAGAGGATACAGGGTGGAATAAAGGTAATTTTAAATGAAGAAGTAAAAGGTACACTCCTATGCAGACATAAAAGGGACACTGCAGCTTAATTGGTCTGTCCCATCTTTGGTTAGGACTAGTCTGGGAGATAAGATGCACAACATTAGGGATTGTGCAGCAAAGTAAGGGGTTGGTGAATCTAGATTTCTTCATCCAAACAAGGCACAAGTAATTCCTCTAGGATTAGCAGGTAAAGAAGTAACAGGAGAGGACAAGGTGGGGAATGAACGCTCTGTGCAAACAGCAGGAGGTAACTGCCAAGAGTCCACACGCAGACGGTTGCCAGGACTATTTAAATATGAATCTAACAAACAAACAAGCGATACAACAGTTAGATACAGCTTCCAGTGGCAGCATTGAGTACACATATGAGTCCCATTGATCTGAGCTGTTGTTGGACAAGTGTCTGGGCACAACTGGGCTGGTATAATTGCTGGGCATCTCCTGTGCCACACCTTGGTACCAAGAACAGTGGCAGAATTTTCTGGAGAAACTCCAAAAATAAACTGCTTCCCCCAAACAGTGTTGTCTGACTCAAAACTGTTTTATTCCCCCTGAAATACAGCAATAATTGGGGGGCTGGAGCACGTCTTCCGCAGCAATAAGGCTATGCAATATCTTTGAAGACCATTTGCTAGGGAACAACTTTGGCTCAGGGTTACTGTCTTCAAACCCCGTTTGCAAGGTTCCTGGAGGCTTGTGACTGATCAATATGGGAAGCAGAATGACGGGCTGAATGGATTTTTGGTCTGGTGGGTCAGGGCTCTTATGGCAAATATGGGGTCACTGCTCCCTGTTTTCCTGCTAGACACTCTGGAACACCTTTGGATCCGATTGATAAAAAGTGTAAATAGAAGTGCAATTTAAAAGT